AGATAGATAGATAGATAGATAGATAGATAGATAGATAGATAGATAGATAGATAGATAGATAGATAGATAGATATGCAGGATGTATTGACTTCAATGAGAGTCATATTCTGACCCAGTATACAGGTAGTCCTCAGCTTACGCCCATTTTTTCAGTGACTGTTCAGGATGACAGCAATGCTGAAAAAATGGATGTATGACCAGTTCTTGAAGTTCCAGCTGTCGCAGCATTCCCACAGTCCCATGATTGTGATCCGAACGCTCAGGTTCCCAGCTCAAGATTATGACATCTCAGCCAACCATGGTCCCATGATCACCATTTACAACCTTCCCTGCTGACTTCCCACAAGCAAAGTCAATGAGAAGCAGGCAGGGAAAGTCACAGATCTCTCCAATAAGTCACTCCTGCCACTTTTTCTCCCACCTGCAGCACTCCACCCATGCTGGCCTTCCCTTGGCCCGTGTGTGGTCTGCAACAGCCCACCCAAGGCCTCCCTTGGCCCATGCGCAGCCTGTGACAGCCCACTCCAAGGCCTCCCTCACCTTGCACTCCTTGCCTGGGACTCCCTCTTCCCGCTTAATGACCCACGTGGTCCTGGGGTTACAACTGAGATTGCCATCACTAAACAATGCAGGCACATGATGTTGTGCTTTATAACCGCATTGCTTAGTGACAGCAATCCCAGTCCCAATTGCCATTGTAACCCAAGGATTACCTGTATACTCACATATACTCAGGAAGAGTATACTGGATTACAATCTAAAATCTAAGCGTGTTTTGTTTGTGCTCTCAAATCCATCGCACATAAACAGAGGAATTAATGGAAGCGTATAATGGGATTTCACCTCAAGTTTCTCACATGCATCTATATAAATTTATTCATAAACAATTTCTATCACATTCAGTAAACGTCCTACCCCTATTAGTATGGTAGCTCTACATAATAATATATAAACTTACGGACAAAAAAGGGACAGTAAGGTAGACAAGAGTTTCAGAAACATACATAGGAACTTCCATTTCCTGATAATTAACAGAATAAATGTTGCAAAATAAATTATGTAGCATTGTGTAATTTATACGAACTGCAAAATTTCTGCCCCATTAAACAAGTATACTGCACATATTGCGTTCACAAACTGTTTATTATGAGACACGTTATATTTCTATTTTTATACCCTTCTGTCAGCTCTTGTTATTCACAGAAAACCAACCAAACTTATAAACAGAGAACATGCATATCTTACAAAGGTTTCATATAAAAAGTTATCACCTCTTTCTCTGAATCCAGTTCTGTTTTCTCTTCATTAAGATTTTCTTCTTGCATATTTCCCTGTGCATTATCATCTTTCTGTTTTCTACGCCTTTTGGTGATTGTGGATGGATTTATGGAAATTTGACTGCCATTCTGTTCCTCAGTATCTGTAGATGGGGATGTCCTTTTGTTGTCCTGCACAAAAGAAACGGAGCCATTTTATCATCACCTTCACATTATTTGTTTCAGTGACAAACCATAAAGCTATTCAGTTGTTCAGCTAGCAACAACCAGTAAGCTATTTGTTCGTACTAGTTTATGCCCCAAAAACTCTTATGCTAAAGAAAATCAGATAAACATAGATATGAGTACACTCCTACCAGACGCATAGACAGGCAGCTAAATAATGTATTTGAGGCTCTTCATTACATGGAAGGAACAGAGTTACTCTATTTTAAGTTACCATTGCTAGAGGAGAGAGATTTAATGAAATTGTCAAAATGTCATGCACTTACCATATTTTTATTTTCTTCACGGAAGTGCTGCTTTAATACATTTAACAGTTTGGCTGCCTACAAGAAAATAATTTAATTTGAGAGCAAGATTCAAAAATGACCATTATAAATGAAATTACTGCAGTTCAGGTGTAAAAACCTTTAAGAACTTTTAATATGCTTGTGATATATTTGTCCCCACTTCAACTGCCTCAAGGATGGGCACCTTGCCCTTCAGCATATCTTTAGGTGCTTCCTCGCTGAGCTTCCAGCGTATCTTCTGATCACAGCTCCAGCAATTCTAGTTCTTCAGTCTCACCTAGCTAAAGGCACAGTACAGTATATCTAACTCCAGCGGCATCCATGTCCTTCTGCAAAAGGCGGCAGGGATCGCAGATCTATCTTTGAAAAAGCAAACCATACCGGCTGGGGGAGATAGCTACACATTTTAACCGGACAAGTGAAATCCTAGCTACCACCTCAACCAGCTTTCCATCAACTATTACGACGACAAAGGCAGGGAAAGAATCAGAGATTATATGAAATCAGTGGAAAATCACACATGTTTAGCCATGCTTTAGTGAACAGACTACTAACGTAATAAAGTCCAAGCGGTCATACCGAAGTCACAAAATCACAGTCCACCAACTACAACGGCGGGATCCACGACTCGCGTTATGTGCGTTCCCAAGGTTTAGTTCGAGAAGGGAACCTCGCCATGCCTAGCCTACAACAGAGGTATCGAGACGCCCCTTGCTCAAAACAGCTGGTCGGGCGCCCGCCGGCCCGGCTCGCAGCTTTCTACGCACCTCCTTCAAGCGCTTTTGCTTCCCCGCCCGCCTGGCCAGCCTAGGACTTACCTTGAGATTAGCCTTCAACCCCGCCGACTTGGCCAGGCACTGCAACTCGCTATACCTGAGCGCCTCCAGTTGTGGCGAACAGAGCGCCTCCATGACGGAGAGCTAGACACCCCACAGCTCACTCGCTCTTTCAAGAGACGATGAGATTCAACCGCCGCGCTTCTTCGGTCCCGCCCCCATTTTCAAACGCCCCACTCGCGGCGCGGCCTCGGCGGAGCCCTTACCGGGAGAGCCAATCAGATCCTAGGATGAAAATGCTTATCACTTATAAAAGGGGCGTTCTGGTTTCCCAGAGACTTACTTACTGAGAAGCTCCTGTGTTCCCTTGGCCTGAATTCTCGTAGGTCAATTAGGTAAAAGCGAGGGGAGAACGGGCTTCCTCTCCAATGAACGGGGAGAGGGGCTGCCCTTGCTAACTACCCGCAAGAGCTCGAGGGGGCGCCAATGAGCACAGCAGGAGGCGGGAGCCGCGTTTGAATCTTTGGCGGAAGGCGGGATGGCCGTAAGAAAGCAACTGCGGCTTCTGTTTGAGGAGCCGCGGGTGGGCGGCGCAATCACCGTAGAGCGGGCGGGACCCAGGACCGGGCCGAGCTGCCGAGCCCAGGGAAGCGCAGTGAAACCAGAGCCCCGCGGCGAGCGGGTCCCGGGCGCTCGAGGACTCAGGCTGGAGGACTGCGTTGTGTATCAGTGCCAGCGCTGCCGGGCCGTATTAGGAGACTCGCTCCACTTGTGCACGCAGGAGGAGAAGCTCCGCCTTCTGGTTTGTTTCAGTGAGTTGATCCGGTTCTTGACACGGAGAAGGGAAACAATAGTCGCAGTAGGTGTTGTTGTCCGCGAAGTTTCGAGGTGCACCAAACATTAGTAAGGTAGCAGGAAAATGCAAATCGTCCTGCACGAAGGACGGGATTGTTGCTGGCGAGGACGTGTACACGTGTTGTGCTTGTAAAGTGTGAAACGGTCGTAACTAGTTGTTTCCAGAGAGGAGAGTTTTTTGGTGTAAGAGCAAAACATCGTACTTTTTTCAGACATGTTTTACCCTTAACTAATTAGCATGGTGTTTGTTAATTCCCCCCCCCCGTAGGATTTGTTTGTGCATCATTAATGGTTGACCCTTAAAAGTATTGATTCCCTCAGAAAATATTGTATGATGATATTCAGGAATATGAATGGGTGTGTTACATACTCATAGCAAGATAAACGGCTCTCCCTGTACACTTTTTTTGGTATACATTAAACCATATAAACATCTATTTAAATTTCTATTGGTGTGACCAAATTCTCTGCAAAAGGAAATGATAAATATCTAAAACCAATACTGGGCATTCCAAAATGCTTGTTCAGCTACTTGACCATTTCACAGTCAATGCAACTGATAGGAGTGGTGGGACTTAATACTTGTATTAAGAACACTAGTATGGATGGGGGACAAAAATTCTTGCTACTCTACTGCAGTTGTTAGATTTAAATATTGGACATCACTGAATTTAACGAAAAGGATTCTAAGACAAATCTTTCTCTTTTTAGATAGGCATGCATCTTTTATTACATAAACTTGCCCATTATGAAGGAGATCCTTAAAATAATTCAGTGAGATTAGTTGGGCGGTGTGTGACTGCACTGGTTACCACTACTTAGTGGTAATTTGAATACAAATTTTTATTCTTTGATCTTAGGTTGCTACATGGTCCATTATACATTATGTCTGATGTGCAAGTGGCATATAAATTACTATAATAAATAAGAACAGGCTATTTTGTTTAGAGCTACAATAGAAATTGCAGGTTAATGATGTTTTTCAAATGACTTTTATTATTATGTGATTACTCTCACTTTATTTTGTATTGAGAAAAAGGCTTTCCAGTACAACTTGGATTATGTGGATAATGTATGTGACATCTAAAGTTCATATTGGGTGGATTCTACCAATAGCTGTCTCTTTCCTTGCAACGCAGGAGGCTGGAAATATTTTTGTTTTTTGCAAAATCTGAAAAAAAATTGTAATGCCTAAACTACATTAAAAAAAGTAATTAGTTTTGGGGAAGCATTTTTATTGCTAATATTCCAATGCTGCTCTTATTTTCTGCAGGGGTCACAAAAAATGTTGTTGTGGAAGACAACTTGATGGTCTGTGTTGAGGGAGACCTCATTGGTTGGTGGGTATCTTTTTGAAAACCTTTCCAATGTTTACCTTGTGATTTAATTAACCATTTTGAATCGCCATAAGACAACAATGTAACTTTAAAACACATGCAGAATTTTTTAAAAACAAAAATACAGCTAAGAGAAGTAAAGCGGTTTTGCCTTTACACTTAAACTTTTCTACTTGTATCTTATTTAAAATAACATGCTTAAATTTCAAATGCTACATCTGATTCTGCATGTAGTTTTTGCCATAGATCTTATCTAGCATATTTCATTGACAGTATGGTTGCTAATGTTCTTAGAGATGGGATAGGCCTTGGTTTTTGTAATCAACTATGGGCATGTTCCCTCTGCTCTGGTGCTGAGATCTGCCCTCCATGGCCAATATGGCTGCAGGAGAGACAGAGGCATCTGTCTGTATCAGTGCTTTCTGAAGCTCTTGTCAGGTCTTACTTAGCTCCTTATAAATATAGGCTTAATGTTCTAAGTTATATATGTTTAATAAGTATTTTTAAATCTTGAACTATTATTTCTGTTGGGTTCCTGAGGGAAATTGTTTTTTTCCCCAAGGACCTGATGGGCAGTTCAGTGAAACTCTTGGTCGGTGTCTGGAATGGGATCATAAGGGATTTGGCAGGAAAATCCCAATATATATAATTAATGTAAAAATATGAAAGACCCAAAAGAATAAGGGAACTGCTGATTGGTGTTTTGTGATTGCAGATTCATTATTAATGTGCACAGAACCAAGAACTATTGCCCATGAGGCTTGAGGTTCACATAACATTACCATAAAGGTTTATGGAACATAATCTGGAATGTTTAACTGATTTCACATGTTGTCATTTTCTTCCAGCACCTACAACACATTGTATTGTCAGTCCTGTGAACTACGTATTGGCTTTGTCCTCTATAGTTCAAAATCACTGGCTTACCTACGAGGCTTCTTCTGCCTTTTTAAGGACACCATCACGTGGTTAGTGTTCTTCAGATGCATATTGAACTGTGTTGGGATATTTTCGTTAATGTGAAGGGTAATCGGCTGATAAAATATGCTCAGTTTAGATATAGAATTGAAGTCTTTAATAAAAGGCATATAGAATGCTTCAGGTTATTTGAAGCATTTCAGAAAGGCCACAGTCCTCCTTGTTTTGGTTGTTAGTACCTTGTATGTGCAGTCTTTTGTCATTGTTACATCAGAATATATGGTGGTTCTGTACCAAAATAATTTTTCTGAATGCTCATTTCAACAAGAGTTCATCCTGGCCTGTAACCATTTTTTGATGCCATGTCTTCACAAAGTTGTCTTTGTCTTATATCCAGCCTAAAACAGATGTATCTAAAAGTTGTCTTTAGTTGTTCCAGTTTTAAAGTCCTGTTTTACATCATCTTCAGACGCAGATTTGGCCAATGCGGCTGCAGGGGGGACAGAGGCACTTGCCTGCATCCGTGCTTTCTGGAGTACTTGTCAGGTCTTACTTAGTTCCCTATAAATACAGGCTTAGTGTTCTTTTGAAAGAGTGCTAGACTTTGTTTAGAAATAGTAGCATACTCTTAAGAAAGGGCTAATCCTGTACTGCATAACTTAAATCATCACTGGATACATTACATAGAGTTTTCTCCTGCTTGTATTAACATGGGGTTTCATGTGCCTGCACTTCTACTTTTATTACTTTGTGGATGGGGCAGTGCTGTTTTGGCTTCATGGCTTCACAGGCTTTTCACAGGCTACTTCTAGGTGCTGCGGTTCATGCAGATAGAACTGGACTTGCTGCCAGCCTTTCCATTCCCTTACAGTGCTAGTAAAGGATAGAGCTCACTTGTTATCGATTGCTCCTTTCTACTTTACCTTGTGTCCCTACTTCATGCCTGCAACCTGTCAGCTAACTATTTTTGGATACAGTATTAGTGCTCTCTCAAAAAAGCACTAGTGTGCCTAACAGGTCACAAGCTCAGAGCACCTCCGTGCTTGCAGCTTGTTAATCAAATTACTTGAGTGTGCCATTCCAAGAATTCACTACAGTTACCTAACCTGCCCCACATTTTAAGGTCAGCAGCTGCTGGTTTCCCTGTTAATAGTAGCTTCTTGGTAGAAGGGGCAGCAAAACCTGGGGAATTTACCAATCACTGTCCTTAAAACAGAACGGCATCAGTTGCTGGCCTTCTTACTGTGACAGAATAGGGCTCAGCAATCAGTAGATGTTCTGCCAGTGTACTTTTCTGCTGGTTCAAGGATTAGTGGATAACACTTTAACCATAGCCATCTTGCTGTGACTTAATTTTCTAAACTAAATACATGTTTAGGAAAACTTAAATTAATTTTACCTTATACAAGATTGAAACATGCCTTAAACATCTTTTGCTTCTTGAAACTATGCTCATTTTATTTCTATTCCCCACTTTATCCAAGAAACTCACTCTAGGAATCTAGCATGCTACCTTCCCTTAAGTATTATTAGTAAGATTGTAATAGTTACAAGTCCAGAATCATCCTGAGATCTTAACAGCTAAGCAGGCATTTGAATTTGGATCTATCAGATCTGAAACCAATACTCTACCCATTCAGGGCAAGGATCCTGAAATGTCTGCAACACCATGCTGGGCAATAGTCATATATCAATTTCAAAAGCAAGACTTTTGTTTCAGTTGGCATCAAAGTAAAGATATATATAAAATAATTAGGACTTAAAATATATAGTCATTTAAAGTGAAATCTGTCACAATATATTGTAATATCTTCAGTATATTATATGGGTACAATAAACAAAAGATGTTGGCAAAGTATTACTGTATTGGTGAAGATCTCAATAGTAATAGCAATAATAATAATATGGATATATCTTGCTAAATTTGATAAAGCTTAGGAAACAAGTATTCAGGGAATAGTGAGGTTCTTGAAATCTAATATTGTGAAAGGTTTTCCCTTTTGCAATGGCTGTTTCTATTCTTTGTCTACTTGCTCACAAACCATTCTGTGGCAAGCTGAGTTAAGTGGATTATCACCCAAAGTGAGCTGTTTATTTTCTTTTTGATGAGCCAATATTAAAATATTTTTTAACGTTGATTTTAGTTACTTGCTACAAACTAAAACCACAGTAGAAGCTTCAAAGGTAACCTGTCCTCTGGTGAGCCTGAAGGAACGTGTACAGAGAGTAAGTGTTTTCTGGATTTTGTTCTTTATCTATACATGCATACATTGGAATTTATTTTTATTGTTTGATTTATATTTATACTATGCATTATCATAAAGAATGAAAAATTAGTACAGTAGAAAACATACAAGGTACTCTGTTACCTATTTATTCTCTTTGAGATTTGCTATGGGCTCTGACAGAGCAGCATTTGTTCCATGTGTAGATATATTGGCATTACCAAAATATTATGGGAAAAGATTGTGCTACGGTGGGTTTCAAACTGCATGGGTTATGTTGAAACAGACCGGGCTTGCTGAACAAATTGTGACTTCACGCCAAATTCTAACTATAATAGATAACTGTTTACTTCTCCATGCTACTTCCACTATCTACATTAAAGTAATGAATCATAATTTTAGTTCAGGATTGGAAAGTCTATGGGCCCATTTGTTTTTTCAGCTGAAGTGTTATGTCAAATTTTTCACCAAATTTGGTGGCAGAGTTTATTGCCTTCCCCCTGTCCCCAAATTAAAGGCCTGTTTGGGAGGTATTAAGATGGAAATCAGAATGATTTGCTTCCCAAAAGGCCTCTTGCTTCCCTTCCCAACCATTAAAGCTTTGGCAGGAAAAACAGGCCCCCTTCTAGTAACATTGTATCATTGAGTGATCTGTGAGATCCCCTAGAAAAGCATACTGCTGAATTGCATTCCTCTCAGATGTTGCTCATTCCTGCTTTAGTTTAACAAATTAGTCTTTGACACTGAAATTTTCATACTACAGGTAGTCCTCGACTTACTGTTAATTTAGTGACCGTTCAAAGTTACAATGGTGCTGTAAAAAGCGACTTGCAACCAGTCCTTGCACTTATGACTGTTGCAGCAGCCCTGTGGTCATGTGATCGTGATTCAGGCACTTGGCAACTGTCACACATTTACAGAGGTTGCAGCATCCTGTGGTTACATGATTGGCATTTGTGACCTTCCCAGCTTTTGATAAGCAAAGTCAATGAGGAAACTGGCAGGGAAGGCCGCAAATCATGGTCAAATCATGGTCTCACTTAACAACCATAGTGATTCACCTAACAACCACAGCAAAAAAGGTCATAAAATTGGGAGCAGTCACATGATGCCTCACTTAAAGACCGTGCTGCTTAATAACAAATTTTCTGGCCCCTACTGAGGTTGTAAGTCAAGGACTATCAGTATTATGTTGCGGTTGAATACTGAAGGTGTTAAAAGAAAATTCGGTTTCTGCAGCATTGTCTATATGAATATTTTAAAGTTGCAACATAACATTATTTTAACAGTATTTGTAAAAAGTCAACTTGCTTTATATTCTATACTACTTCATTCTGTTTACACAGAGTTTTTTGTTTTTTTCTAGTTAAAAGAGAGTCTTGTACTAGCTCACATGCACGTGGAATTGCTAATTAAGAAACTAGAAGAATTCAGTCAACAAAGGACCGTATCTGAGAAGCAGAGCTGTAAGGGAAGATCATGTGGATATACAAGGAGAAAGCTGAACAGTTAACTTTTTAGAATTGCCTGTCTCAACTAATTGTTTTCACAATTACTTGTGTTTGTAATTGAACATGGCAATTAATATGGCCTTAGACTGGCAGGTTGATGATACAAAATGGTTTCCTTTTCTAGCATGCTCGAATGCACATAATGTTTGAACATGAACAGCTATCCCAAATCATTTTAACTCTTACATATAAGTATTTCTACTATACTTTCACAAAAACCTTAAAACATTGCATTGCTGTTCTAAGATTGCATTGTAAACAGATTGGAAACTGGATAATCTATCTGAAAGAAATAAACATTTACTTTGTACATTTCTTTGGAAGTCACCTTGCCTGTTTTTTACATTTGAGAAAGATGTGTTGCCTCAGGACTCAGCTGTAAACTGTGTTCAGTAACATTAAAATTGGTCAAAAAATGAAACGGTTGAAATATCAGCTTAAAATTTTATCATAAAAATTTTAAATCATTGCCCAGACTACCAAAGTAGCAATGTTTTGAGGAAATAAGTTTATAATTATGGGGAAAGCTTCACTAATGTGCATTGTATTAAGTGTGCATGTGTGTGTTTTCCTTTTGTCAGAAGGGCTAAGGCCAGAAAACTCAGTTGCCTGGTTATTGTACTCTCAAGATTTGAGATATAGGCTACAGTGGCTGTAATAGGATTTTTTTTCAGCAAGTAAGGACAGGATTTGTCTTTCTTAAAACAGTAAAATGTAAACAGTTGTCTCCTTTGAGTCAAACTGATCAGTACCAATCAGCTTGGTCAGTAGAAAGAATACTTGGAGTTCTTCTGCAGAACCACCACATCATAATTCACTTATTACAGTCTAGTCTGGAAGCCGGGACAGCTCCAAAGGAAGAAGAAAGAGAGGGGTGTCAACCGGGTGAGATGGACCT